CCATGCCCCCCCCCTTCCCCATGACAACTCCCACGCTACATAAAATTCTTCATGCTCGCAACATTCTCTACCCTACGTACTTCCACCGTCCCGTGCCGTTACATGCTCGCACCACCGCGGAGTCGTGAAGCAGGGTGAAGGTTGAATGAATAAGGGCAGCAGCCTCAGACAACGTTGCTTGCTGGTCATCAGTAGGCAAACTACTCCTGCTCCTGCTCCTCTGCCTCCTCCTACCAATCAATAAATCGCAGTCCGTAAAAACAATAGACAGGGGGGCTCAGGCAGCCGCTCTGCTGCTGCCGCCGCCGCGTGACAGCGTCGCGGCAGCAGCAGCGGCAGCAGCGGCAGCAGCGGTAGCAGCGGCAGCATCATCTCTCATGCTGCGCTGCTGCTGCGCTGCTGCTGCTGCTGCTGCCGCCGCTGCGATGCTAGCGGGGCAGGGGCCGCGGCGCGGGGCAGCGATTCTCGATTCTTATAGGACATTGACACGAGGCGACCTCTGTTCAGGGGGCGCTGCTCTCCCTCCCGTCTGCTCGGCCGCGCCAGGCGCGCAGCCGTTGTGGTCGCTTGTTCATTCACCTGGCGTGCTGTCGTCTCTGCTTACATCTGTACGGCTGGCTGCCCGAACAGCAAGCCTGCGGCTCGCGCTGCCCTGGCAACCGTAGGGCTGTACCCGTTGCTGTCGTGGCGCTCGGAGGGGGGCCCGCTGCTGCCTGGGCAACCGGCAGTTGCTGGACTGGCGCTCTGCTGGCGTTGTGGACTGGGGACGCTGCTGGACTGGCGCTCGCTGGGCTGGCGGGTTTATCTCCATATTGAATAACCTCGTAACCAGTGTTATGGTTGCTACAAATTCGCGTGAATCGTATGTATCCTGGCCAGGCTCGACGGCTGGATAAATGCCGCTGCCTGCTGTCGTCGTGCGCCCGGGTGCTCGGCCCCGTTATCTCTGCGCATTCTAGCTCACAGACAATAATACTCGAGGCAAGACACTGAAATAACAAACCAAGCCAGAGTTACTTCAGATTGCAGTTTAATACATATAGCGCGCACACAAAAATAGCGGTTTTGAGACAGATAGCAGTGGGTGGAAAATATAGATTAGTGCGATGCTGTTGCTTCCCCCACCCCCTTTTCCGGAGTTTCCCCCCACCCCCTCTCCGGGTTTCCCCAGGTGTGCTGCTGGCATGCAGATAAGTATGTTGGTAAGCAGGCAGGTGTGTTGGTGAGCAGATCGGTATGTTAGGTATGGTTATTAACAGGCAGGTGTGTGGGCATGCAGATTGCTATATGAGTTAGTAAATAGGTGTGTTTGTTAGCGGGCAGGTGTGTTGGTAAGCAGATGGGTATGTTGGTAAGCAAACAGGCATGTGGGTAAGCAATATTGAATAATGTATATTAGTTAGCAGGCAGGTATGTTAGTATGAACACAGGTACGCTAGGCAGGTGTATTGCTAATCAGATGAGTATGTCAAGTAGATATGTTGGCAGGCAGATGAGCATATTAGCCAGGTCTGTGTTCCTGTAGAACTATTGTATAAACCGTATTTTTCGCGTACAGATATTTTCGCGAATTCAGACTTGCCGGACAATTTCGCGAGTGGTTAATTTTCGCGGTCGGTGAACTATGTATTATTCCGAATTATTCGGTATGAATGATTTGCGTGTTGTTATTTTCGCGGTCGGGGACGCGTTCGCGAAATTCGCGGAAATTAAACCACCGCGAAATATACAGCTTATACAGTAAGTGCCTTTTCTCCCCCGTGTCAGTTTCAGCCGTCGACGCCGGGCCAGCATGGAGGCAGTAGAGGTGGTCCGGGCTCGGTGGGTCCAGGCTCGGTCGGCCCCGCATCCGTCGACGACGGCAGCATGAAGCACCTGAACAAGCAGCCTCGCAGCAACGGCACATGCGGCCTAGGTAGGAGTCACGCGTGATTAATAAGAGCCGCAGTCGGCGCATCTTACTTACAATATATTTACAATGTATATACTATAATATTTATGCTATCAAGAGCGTATAAAGAAGGAGAGCGTACAACGGTGAAATGCTGAAACTATGTTGCAGTATTAGTCGAATTAATAAACTTTCCCCGATTTATTTTGACGATTCTTTGCAGTATTATTGATTAGCTGTCTTACCTTGTTAATATAAAACAAACGGCATGTCCCTACGATGCCCCTACGCTGAGATAATAAGCGGTGGAAATCTGGTATTTTCGGAGATCACTGGACTCGAGATCACTGTTTACTGCGACTGTCTCTGGCTTTGAGATAACTTCAGGAAACCTCATGTGTTTCCGTCAATGATTGACAAATGGAATGAATGACGTCTGTTATTGATTGCCATAGTGATGACCCCCACCTGTGCCCACCTCACGCTGGATGTAGTAAACTCTGTAGTACCAGAGCATACTGATGTAATGAGTCAGCGCTACCATGGCGCTACACAGGGGCGACTGGAAGCAATACACTGGCCACAAAGAGAGAGAGAGGGTCGCAGTAAACAGTGATCTCGAGTCAGTTTTCAGCGAAAATACCAGACTTTCACCGCTCATTATCTCAGCGTAGGAGCATCGTAGGGACAAGCGGTTTGTTTTATATTAGCAAGGTAGGACAGCTGATCAATAATACCGCAAAGAATCGTGAACTAAAACCGGCAAAGTTTCTTAATTCGACTAATACTGCAACATGGTTTCAGCATTTCACCATTGTACGCTCTCCTTCTTTATACGCTCTTGATGCTATGTATATATATTATATTATAATATTATATATTTACAATATATACTTACAATGTATTTCTGACAGAGTCTTATTACTTACTTACCTGCATCGCGGTGTAGAGTGTGCTACTAGGCTTTATTACATGTGCATAATGTAATGACTAGTGATGTCCCGATGATCGATTATAATCGAAAATCGATCGATTATAGTCTCAAATTCGATAATCGATTATGAAAACAAATAATCGATTATCAAAAATACAAAAAAAAAAATTACTAAATCGCAACATGGACATGTATTGGTAGCGAAGTAGAAGTGCATCAGTGTGTAGTCCAGAGGACACCTTCATGAATCACTGTTAACATAGGTCCTGTCTGATTGCAGAGCGGTACTAGTGTACTTATATACATGGACAAATTGGACAGCGTCTTTGTTTTGGTTTGACACTGTCCCACAGATGTTATCCGTAGATGAGATTCTACTCTCCGTATTGTTTGTTACATTGTGTTGGAGAGGATATTCCATTGGCAGGACATTTACTCGGCTACACAGCCTACACTATTAGAACACAAACAACTTACTTACTATAATAAAGAACAAGTCTTGATCAAAGTTTAAAACTTTTAATGTTTTAATAAAGGCTTTTAAACCATTTCTTTTTAATATGATTAAATACTGTATAGGAACAGACATTGATATACATACAGCACCTTCACAGAGTTAATACATGATCATAAAACATGATAATATTGAATGCTATGTATAATGTATATACAAAGTAAGATTAAATTAAATCTATGCTATTATTAAACGATTATCCGATTATAATCGATTATCGATCGGTTAAGGAAACGATAATCGATTATGAAATTCCACCCGATTCCCATCACTAGTAATGACTGTTATTCCATGTTGTGTTGTGTGTGTAAAGAACTGTTACTTGTTGCTAGTAAGTGTTGACTATATCTAATAACTGTCACCGCACATGTTGTCATGTCTCATTATGAGGACTGCCTCTGCTTACTAACTGTTTCCTTGTTGAGATCAAACATTACTGTGTTTACGCTTACTGCTCATTGATTAACAGCCTACCTGTGATTTACACCTGTTACCTGTTCATAGCACGTGTTACATGTGATCAGAAGTAGATAATAGGGAAGGAGTGGGACTTCAATAAACAAGGGAAATTCGTTATTTACTAGCCTTAGAATACCTACGATTTACTACTCGTAACTCAACCAACTTGAGCTCAAATCGTACACAGTACATTCGCCTAGCATCGTGCAAAATCGTTTCTCGTATATACACCGCAATCGGAGATACAGACTAAAACGTACGACATGATTCTCCGTTCTGTTGCCAGCAAAACGAATCCATAACCCGCCTAACTTAAAACAATAGGCAGCTAGTAACGACTCTTGCGCACTCTTGTGCCCTCGGCGATGCGGTGTGGCTCGCTGGGAGATTTGACATCGACGCAACACTCGGCAAGCTAATCTTTGACCTATTTACAGCTGGTTCTTCCCCCACGCGCGCACACCCACCCCAATCAGCAGCAGCTCCAGCTCCAATCTCCAGCGAGCCACACCGCATCGCCGAGGCACAAGAGTGCGCAAGAGTCGGTGAGTAGCTGCCTATTGTTTCAAGTTAGCGGCGTTATGGATTCGTTTTGCTGGCAACAGAATGCGAGAATCGTGTCGTACGTTTTAGTCTGTATCTCCGGATTGCAGGTGTATTACGAGGAAACGATTTCGCACGATGCGAGCGAATGTACTGTGTACGATTTGAGCTAAAGTTGTTGAGTTACGCGTAGTAAATCCGTAGGTATTCTAAGGCTAGTAATGACGAATTTCCCTTGTTTATTGAAGTCACACTCCTTCCCTATTATCTACTTCTGATGTGATTTATCACCTGTTACCTGTCCATAGCACATGTTACCTGTTAATAATTAGTTACCTGTGCTTGCTGCTCATCGATTAACGTGCTACCTGTGCTTACTATGTGTCATCACCTGTTACCTGTTCATAATGAGTGTTACCTGTGCTTACTACGTGTTACCTGTGCTTACTACGTGTTACCTGTGCTTACCACGTGTTACCTGTGCTTACTACGTGTTACCTGTTCATTCATAGCGAGTGTTACCTGTGCAGAGTTGACGCGGATGTTTCCGACCCCACCATCTCTGGACAGCAATCACATGGTGCACTCGCCGTGCTGCCCAGCTGAGACGACGTCGCTCGAGGCGGGAGAGCCGGCTGTCTGTGAGAGGGCCACTACGGCTCTCGGCAGCCCGCAGTACGAAGCCATCAAGGTACGCTGGCGCCATCTGTCTGTACATTTCAAAAAAGTTGGTTTTTTTTATTCATAAATATTTTATTTAGATTTTAATTATTGTGCACATTCTAAATCAATGTATCTTCATATTAATTATGGTAATTGCAGTCATTTCCGACATATCACAACATTTTGATCTAATGGCCAAAAATTCTGGCAATACTCGGGATAGTTAACAGCCTGACGTCGTGGCCTGATATTTTGATCATATAGTCGATTGTGCGCGACATCGCTTTCACTGCGTCACTGTCGTTGTCATGGCGGCTGTCATCACGGTGATCATTGCTGTGTTGCAGGACTGGTCGTACGTGTACCGGCCCCCGACTGCGCACCGCTTCGTCAGCGCGTCCAAGTACGCGCCGCTGACTGCGCTGCCGAGCCACGCATCGCAGCGCGAGCAGCCCATCGCAGCGCTGCCTGAGTACAAGCCCTCGTGGCAGCAGTACCCGGCACCGCTCATGAAGAAACACATGCCCGTGTGAGTATCAGAGCAGAGAGCGGGGTGAGCTCGCGCGCGTTATTTAACCATAATGTAATTGTAATCGTCGTCTTAATTGTAATGTAATCGTAATCTTAGCCATAATGTCATCATAATGAAATCGTAAACATATTGTAATCGTAATGTAATCATTATCATAATCATATTGTAATCTTAATGAAATCGTAATCGTAATCATATCATAATCATGATCGTAATCATAATGCTAAAGTAACGCAACGACTTGCAGACAAACATGTACATGTACATATACATACGTATAAGTGCTTTATTTGTTGTCAACGGAATAAACGAGTTATTGTATTTGCCCTGGGAGTTTCATTAGTGTGAATAAACCTGTGCGGCTGGGCAGACGGTCGTTGTGTACAGGCATTAGCCTCTGTAGCGGCTGCGTTAGGCAGGTGGTCCTTATATGCAGGCTAGTCATGACTTTTCCGCTGGGGGATTTTTTGATGGTCGTTACAGGAAGGTGATCATTATATAGAGGTAGTCGCTAAAGCTGATCTGACTGTGTATATATATGTATATATATATATATATATGTGTATATACATACATATAGGTACATGTACACACATGTACATATCTGTACATGTGAGCTATAAGTACGTGTAATAATGAAACATGGGACACGTGTGTAACACGATAATAATGTAACATGTGACACGTGTGTAACACGGTAATAATGTAACATGTGACACGTGTGTAACACGGTAATAATGTAACATGTGACACGTGTGTAACACGGTAATAATGTAACATGTAACGTGTGTAACACAGTAATAATGTAACATGTTTAACATCTGGTTTCTTCTCTGATTGGCTTTCCTGCAGTAAGGGCTGCAGCGACGCGCATCACCGGCAGGCGCACGACGTCCTGAGAATTCACAACGTCTCACCGGCTGGAAAGCACGAAAAAACAGGTCAACCCTCCCGCTATCTATACACAAGCAACGCTCACAAAACAGTGTTCAACCTCAGTTGAACATGCACGGCTGCACGAAAACGCTGTCAAACTCCGGCTATATACACCCAGCGCTCACTAAACATTGTCAAATCCACTGGACCACACTAACGTTCACAAAACGCTCGTCAAACCTCTGAGCTGTATTACATGCAGACTACTCACAAAACACTCGTCAAGCCTCCGTTGGACACATGCAACCGCTCACAAAAACTGTCGAAAGCTCATAGTAAACACATACAGTGTTTTTACAAAATGCTGTCAAACCTCCCTGAACATAGTAGAACTTCTAGGCCAAACACAATCAACGTCTCTACTACGCACACACACTGCTCGCAAACACTTCACACCTCTACTAAAGCACATACTGTACGTTATGCAACACACACACAGCGACACGCACGCACACCACCACAGCTGAGAAACGTCACAACGCAACGATACGCATGCACGCACTGCACGCAACGCAGCACGCGACGCACGCAACACACACATTACAACACACACTGACACATGCTTGGTGACAGCACGTGTGAACGGTGTACGACGCCACGAGCCCCTCACCACTGCCCTCAACTGAGAGCAGTCCGCCAGTCAGCGTGCACTCACCGACGTGAGATACGCCCAGCGTGTGTATGGCAGGGACTGACAGTGCAGGTCCTTGTCCTGCCTTTGCCCTGAGCTGTCAGCGTCCCAGTATCTGTCTCGACTGAGTCCAACGCATTCACTACGCCTCATCAACCTTCAACACACGGTGACGATATCGCCGTGGCAAGATGCGTACTGCCCAGGCAAGAATGCGCACAGCGTGTAACTCAACATCGCGGAAGTCCACGCAGAGACAGAGAGCAGGGCAACGGCATTCAAGATAATGTAGATGGAGAGTTAATGATTACCATGCTGTTTTATGAATGTCATCTAACGCTCGTCAGCCAGTGAGGAATACAATGTGTGAAAGAAAAGGAATCGTAGGGTAAGATGGCTAGCAAGAGATACACGACAAGAAGTAAGATGACAGCGACAGATCAGGACACACAGGAGAGAGTAGAGTTAAGTGAGGAAGGAGCGAGAGGGAGAGCGGAAAGGGGGAGCGGAGGGAAGGGAGGTATGGATGGAGGGGGGAGGAAGTGAGGAGAGACAGGAGAGATGCCAGAGAGAGAATGATGCGTTATGGTGCTTGCGTTGTCGAATAACACGTAGTATTTGCCACTCTGCCATGGCATCAGGATACCTATCAACCTTGGCCATATCGTATTCGCTCATGCTGGTATCGTCATGGCGGCCCTTCTATTAACGTAGCCGCATGGTGTCCAGTTCGCGTAGCTCCTTATCGGCGGGTTCTGCACCTGCTGGGCCATGATATGGTCTTCGTGATTTATAAACAGCAGAGTGAGCGAGGAGATGACAGCGTGGAGCACTGAGCCTGCATGAATGTGATGAGAACCTGCAAAGTGCAATCGATGACGTCATCGTTTACTATAATTTGGCGATATGTTGTATGTAGTATATTAATGAAAGGCTCCGTCTTTTGGCATCCAAATAGCGCCAACATTCACAGAATAGATCGATTGAGTACAACGGGACGGGTTTCTAACTATACTGACGTTGAAAAACCGTTTGTTCGGTCTTTAAAAAAGAGTTTAAAAAACTAAAAGGTAAAGATTTGCTTGCAGATATGGGGGCGGCTGTTTGTTTAGCGTTCTGCTTTCAACAGGTCTTCGATTCGTGTTGTTCTGTCTATCTGTTGTTCTAAGCTTCTGTGCCGATTTGAGTTGTGTCTGAGATTTGTGTAAGCCCATAATGTAAGTAGAATAAGCAATGTAATATATGAGTTAAATATTCAGTAGCTATTCGCCATAGTTTCCCAATATGAGATGTATCAAGTTGAATTTCATACATGAGCAGATTTTTTTTTGGAATCTGCGAATGCTGTACGGGTCGTCGTAAACACCGATCTGTGCAAGCGGTCGGCGATCACTGAAGCACGTATAGATTATCGTCGTCCGCACAGAGTGGCAAACATGCCGTAGAAATAAGCGAATCACACCACGCAGATATTACGCATGTCAGCGTCCGCACGACAGTGGAAACATGCCGAGCAAGTAATTATTCAGTATTAGCGTGCTACGCAGGGCCAAGTGGTTATATCAGTCGGCCCGACCTACCAGCCCATTCAGATCTATCCTATATTTCTAACTTCCATTCCGTATCATCAACAGTAGTTCATACATAGCATACAATAAACATTTGTGTGTGCGTGCGTGCGTAGGCTGTCTGTATTTGCACCTGTGTGGCTTGCCAAACAAAATGTTAATGTGTTAGCTGTAAGCATGATTGTAGCATGTATTTGTATGAACATCTCAACATAAAAAACAAACCAACATGTGCAACAACCAACTCTCCATACACACCTACACATTAATGCACTGACTGTACTGGTAACACATGCGATCACAGTCACTAAGCCGCGCGCGTAGGCGGCGGGTTTCAGCTAGTGCATTAAGCTATAACATTATAAACATTGCTGCATTCCGTGTAATTTATGTATTTCTGGCCTTTACCGCTAACACACCACATACGCTGCGAGCACTTTCACCATTACTGAACCCCTCTCCCCTTTCCCTTCGCTGCTCTCTCCTCTCTCTCTCTCTTCTCCTCATCCTGCCGCAACCGCTGCACCGCCTCCCCTCCCTCCTGCCTCTCTCCTTCTCCTGCCCCAACCCTGCCACCTCCCTGCCCTCCTGCTCTCTCGTCTCCTGCCCCAACCGCCCTCCCTCCCTCAACTGCTCCTCTCCTGCCCGACGCACCTGCAACTCCCCTCCGCTCCTGCCTTTCTCTCTCCTGCCCGCAACTCCCAATAGGCCACCCTCTCCTCCCTCCTGCTCTCTCTCTCTCCTGCCCCAACCCCTGCCACCCTGCACCTCCCTCCTGTCCTCTCTCCTGCCCCAACCCTGCCGACCTCCCCACCCTCTGCCTTTCTCTCTCCTGCCCGAGCAACGCCGCTGCCACCGCTCTCTCTCCCGTCCTGCCTCTCTCTCTCCTGGCCCCACCCTGCCACGCCCTCCCCCCCCGCCTCTGCCTTACTCTCTCCTGCCCCAACCCCATGCCACCGCTCTCCTCCCTCCTGCTCGTCTCTCTTCTGCCCCACCCCTGCCACCCTCCTCTCCTCCTGCTCTCTCCTCTGCTCCTGCCCAACCCCTGCCAGCCCTCCCCTCCCCTCCTGCCTCTCTCTCTCCTGCCCAACACTCTCCCTCCAGCCTGCCTCTGCTCGTCCCTGCCCACCCTGCCCACCCCCTCTCCTCACCTCCTGGCCTGCTCTCTCCTGCCCCAACCCCCCCCCCTCCCTCCTGCTTTCTCTCTCCTGGCCCAACCCCTGCCACCCCTCTCGCCTCGCCTCTTGCATTTTTCTCCTCTCTCATCTCTGCCGGCGAAACCCCTGCCACCCACCCTCCTGCCGCGCTGCCCTCTACTCTCTCTGCGTCACTGCTCCAACACCGCTGTCCACCTCCTCTGCCTACCCCTCCTGCCTCTCTCTCCCCTGCCCAACCCCTCCCCTCCCTCCCTGCCTCTCTCTCTCTCCTGCCCCAACGCCTGCCACTCCCCTCCCCCGCCTGTACCCTCTGCTCCTCTCTGCCCCAACCCCTGCCACCACTCGCCCCTCCTCCTGCTTTCTCTCGTCCTGCTCCAACCCCTTTGTGACCCGCTCCCTCCTCGCGCCCGCAACCCCTGCCCCACTCCCCTCCCTCCTACCCCCACTGCCACCACCCCCTCGCTCCCTGCCTTTCCTCTCCTTCCCTGCTCCACCCCTGCGAACCCCTCCCCTCCTCCTGGGCGCCAACCCCTGCCACCCCTCCCCCTCCCCTCTGCGCTTCTCTCTCTCCTGCCCGAACCCCTGCACCCCTCTCCTTCCCTCCTGCCTCTCTCCTCCTGCCCCAACCCTGCCACCCCTCCCGCTCCTCCTGCTCTCTTCTCCCTGCCCAACGCCGCTGCCACACCCCCTCCCCACCCGTCTGGCCTTC